GCCACGGGGCCGGCGTCCCCCGCCGGGTCGATGGGCAGGGCCCGCTCTGCTCCGCAGGGGAGTTTTCAACACACTTCTCCTCCTCCCTTAGTTTTGGGAAGTGATAAGCGATGAGCATGGCATTGACCCAGCCGGAGGCTATGTCGGTGACTCAGCGCTGCAGCTGGAAAGGATCAATGTCTACTACAATGAATCATCTTGTAAGTGTGGGATGGGGAAGGGGTGAGGATAGCGTTCACCGTGGGAACGGACACAAAAATCGTAGAATCGTGGGCTAGTTTGGGTTGGAACAGACCTGAAAGATGGTCTAGTTCCACCTCCCTCCTTCTCATAGGCAGGGACACCTTCCACTAGACCAGGTTGCTCATAAGCCCCGTCCAACCTTGCCTTGAACACTGCCAGGCATGGGGAAGTCACAACTTCTCTGGGCAACCTGTTCCAGTACCTCAACATCCTCACAGTAAAGAACTTTTTCCTTATCTAAATCTACTCTTTTTTGGTTTAAAGCTGTTCCCCCATGTCCTATCACTACGTGCTCTGGTAAAAGGTCCCTCCCAGCTCACCCTATTATACACAGAAAATATTACTTTCTTATATGAGATACTTTCCTACAGACTGAAGGCTGGGTGTTACGTCCCCGGTCAGAGAGAAGTGTCGCAAGGGGCTGTACTTAAGGTCTGGAGGTGGAGGTTTGTTTATTATTTCACACTATGCTAGGTGTTTGCTCCTTTAACATATGATTACTTCATCAGCTGTGTCTTATCAACTACCCTAGATTAAACTGTTTGTTATATGAACCTGTATGTGTAGCACTGTCTCTGATTTCATGACTGAGAGGGTTGGGCCACAGCTAATTGAGAACTCCATGGTGATTCATTAATAAGATGCCAAAGGTGCCCAAATCCTCTGAGTCAGTCAGGTGTTGAAGGGTGTTAATTGTAAAATGTGGATCATATGTCCTTTGGTCTATTGACATGAACCTGCAAGTGTGAATATTTCAACTCTTGTCCAGCTTGGCTTAATTCATATTATTTTCCCGAGTTTCCTTGAACACTTTCAACTGAATACAGCTCCTTTACTTTGCGCTTTGTGGTAGATGCACAAATTACTAGTGTTTGCCACCTACACCAAATAGCTTTCAGTGGAGGTCAGTCCTTCAAGCATAAAAGCTTGTGAGATGTATTAGGATTGTTTGAACATAAGCCCTTCACTCACCCTATTATTCACAGAAAATATTACCTACTTTCTTATAAAGAATAAGTCAACCATTTTTTCTGATCATAAACTTCCCTCCCTCCTCTCTATTGCTGAAAAAGAGCTTGAAAAACATAATATGCCATCTGTAGGACCCCAAAGATGTCAGGTCTGTTTTTCAAGCAGAATTAATTTGTCCCTATGGTGCTGGGGCTTTTCACTACCATTATTTCCTGTATGAAGAATATTTATATGTGTGCATCTATACTAGACTAATAAAATGAGACAGTATGTTTGTATTGAGAGCTATAACCATGTTGCTTATTTTGGAACATTAAGGGCATGCTTACTTTTTATTGTAGCCCAGAAATTTGTACCAAGAGCAGTCTTGGTGGACTTGGAGCCGGGAACCATGGATAGTGTGCGATCTGGTCCTTTTGGTCAGCTCTTTCGGCCTGATAATTTCATCTTTGGTATGTGGATGTCACTTTTTTTAAGAAACCCAGGACTATATGGTTCACTCAGGACTGAATGGTCAAAAAGCATTTAATTGCCCTATTCCAATGTGATGGTTAGTACTGAGAAATCCTAATATCTTAATGCAATTGCAATTATCTGCAAATCATCTGAAAGATCCCATTAAGTAAAAAAGTTGTTCTGTTATTCATTCCTTCAGTTAGCAAACTACTGAAAGTTTCCTATAGTATCCATATTTCATTTGCTTTCCATATATATATGAACTCTGGAGAAATCGAGACTGCTTCTTTGCAATAAATTGCATGGAAATCCTGCAGAAAATGAAGAGGGGAGCGGGGGGGAAACCCTCAACCACCAACCAGACTACCCTTCACTTGAATTCACATTAAGTGCTTGAGTACTAAATTGTTTATAGGCTGTGTAATTCAACTTTATCAGCAGATCCCTACAGTGTAGTAAACAGTGGAAGACGACCAGTTACTGGGTTATTTTCCAGCATAATGAGGAACAGTCCGAGAGTATATGAGGAACCTCTGTTTTTGCAGTGTTTCTGTAGAGGGTTGTTCTGGCCTTTACTATTTTACTTTGGACTTGCGTCATATTTTCCATCTAAGCTTAGAAGTGCACATGACAATGATTAAATTTCATTGCATTCTTATGAAGTACAGAAGCATTATTGGTCCCTTTGCACTAAAAGAGAAAGTGTGTGAAAATTAAGTGATCCGCTTGCTGAAACATGAAGTCTGAATGAAACCTGCCATGAGAACTCTTGTGTCCTTTTGGTTTCTAAGTTTGCACCAGCCACAAAACACATTTCCTCCTGCCAAGGCAAGCTTAGATTGCAACTTAGTTTGGTATATTGTGTATACATAAGGAAGGAACAAGTCCAGGGTCAGACAGAGGAAAGATAAACATTATTTGGGTGGTATAAAACAAACTTAAGTCTGGGTTGTTGCTGTTGAGGTAGGGAGTCATACAGAGTATCTGACAAAACTTGTAATACTATCCCTATTCTTTTGTATATTCCATGTCAGCAAAGTTAAGGGTGTCTTTTCAAAGCTGCTTTCAGTTACTACAAGTAGACGTAAGGCTGGGGAGAAAATATGAAATATGCTTCTGTATTCAGGTTTCTCGTTCCATTCCCTCTGTCCTGCATGGACCACAGAACTCCTCTGAAAGTGAATTCATCTGACCTATGGAAATACTTGAACTGTCGCTTTGCAGTTTGGCATGCCACCAGTAAAACCAGAGCAAAATCAGTTCAGAATGTCTTCAACAATAGTCCAGTTCACGGTACTCCCCTTCCTACCAAGATAACAATGAACCAACAGCATGTGATCAACTTGTATCTGACAGAGGCCCCTGCCAGCATCAGGCACTGTCCTACCAACCTGCTGAATAATGTAGAATGGCTGAGCGCTGAAGTAATGATTTTCTCTGTCAAAAGCCAACAAAGCATTTTGTTTTCTCTCTTAAAAATCTGGCCTGGGCCCACAAAGGCATTTGTGGCAGAAGCTGGCAGTCCCATACTTGCTGTACTCCAGGCTGGTAGGGTTCATGCTGATGGGGATGTTTTCTATCTCTGCTTGTACATACCTGCACGTACCCATGTCTCCATAGGAAGTAACCGTGGACCATCAATTGAGATTTAATTCACACACTCCAGATAGAGGAGTTTTAGCTCAGACCAGCAGGAAATTGAGATGAACACAAAATAATCCTCATGCTTTAATGCTTGTGTTGACAAGGTAGTGACCTAAAAGGTGAATAAGCAGAGGTGGAATGATCTTGCTGTTCAAGAGCAGCAGGTCTTCTGGGTGCCTAACAGCATACAACTGCCTGCCAGGAACTGCTGTGCGCTCTGATGTATCTGCTCTTGTTAACCAGTTTTCATTTGTACGTTACTGAACAAAAGCATAAAGGCACAAATTTAGGTTGTTGTTTTTTTTTTTTTTTTTTTTTTTTTTTTGCATGCACCCTTGCCAGCTTTGCTATTATAGATACCACCCTGATTTAAGGCAGGGGCAACCACAAAATGGCTGTTAGCCAGTCAAAGGAGCCATTCTTTCCTCTCTAAATCATGCTGTGAGTTCTGCACCAAGGCTGTTCACACTAGGCTTCAGAGAGTTAGTATGCAAGTTACTGATCTCTCTTCCCATGTTTGTCTTTTTAAAGCGGTGAGGAGAGGAAAGGAGTGAAAGAAGATTGCAGGAAATAGTTGCCATTTTAGGAATTAAAAAATAAATTAACTGTTAGACAAACGGCCTCTATTCATGTGCACCTCAACCTGCACAGGTGTGATAACCCTACAATGTGTTGGAGAAACAAACAGTGGTAGAAGGACCTGGAGTCACCAAGAATGCAGATAAATTGTGCATCGCTTTGTGTAAATGTCCTTTAGATCTCAGTAAAAGCACAGTGAGAAAAGGCAGAGGCAGGAAGCTAGAGATGGGCTGCATAGAACACAGAGCTTCTAGGACTGGCAAGAGATCTGCCAAGTCCTGGTTTTGCGAACACAGGCTCATTTTCCACCTAGAGATTTAATCTTGGTAGAATTTGATAATTTTATGTATTTGTCTAAGATTTCCAGAGATCTGCTAGGTACTTGGTAAGTGAAAGGCACCTAGTAGGGTTTCACAGGATCATGATCAAGATTTTCAGGTGTGTGGCAGCTTTGTCAGAGCCATGGCGCCTCCAGACTCTACTGTATTGCCATGGGTGAGAAGTCTGGAGCCTCCAGAGCTCATTGTACGTGTTCTGGGAGGTGGTGGTCTTACAGTGCTGTAGAGCAAATGGGTCTGGAAGTAGTATCAGTTTACTGGGCATGTATGTAGCAGGAATTCTCAAATGAAAATGTTGGAGACCCTAGGTAGGTGGGTGACTAGTGGGTCAAGTGCAGTGTTGCCGTGGGAGTAGCTGATAGTTGTGGGCTGGAGGGGATCCGTTAGTACTGGTGTAGGCAGCTGCTGCTACAGTTCCACTAAGCAGTTTAAATATGGTTGTATTAGTGCAATAGAGAGAAGTGGTAGTGGTCATGTGGACATCCAGGAGTTTGTGTGTCTCAGATTAAGACTGAAGGAGTCTAGTGCAGTGAAGGGCATGAAGCAGTACAGGTCCACCTCTGTGTTACACGTTTTACCTCCTAATTTTTTGCAAATTTAAATTGCAAAGTAAGCAAAAGCAAGTGAAATCACTGATTCTTCCCCCCTCCATGACATATCATTTCCTCATTTATAAGAGTAATTGCTATTCTCCTCTTATGTTGTTTTTTTATGCCTACTCTCCATTCTGTCTGCCCACCAAAAAAGGATGACACGTTTACACGAGGCAATCTATAAAATAAAGTCCCAAACTCATAATTTAGCTTTGTTGAGATCCTTCTGCATCTTGGAGTGATGTCTGCTTGTTAGTGTGCATCCTGATGTGCTGCCCTGTCTGTCGTAGAGAAACTGCTTAAGCAGACTGCAGATGGTTATGATCATACTTAATTATGAAAGGATATTACTTTGTGTTTTGCCCAGCTGGACAGGAAGTGCTGAGCTCCCTGGGTTTGAAGAGGGAAAAACATAGCAACATGAGAACAATGTATTAGCTAAGCCAATACATCATGAGGAAAGCAAGCATTTATGCAGTGAAAATAAAGTGCATCATATTTAAACAATATCCCAGCAAGCAGTTTCCCTGATTCATATGTTTGGCACCAACACAGTGCACTGGGAATTGAAATGAGACATGGTAAATAGGAAGAAAAGGGAAGGTCTTGGAGAGCAATGCAGAAGTTGATAGCTCTATACGTAATACTGAAAGTATTGGTTGGGGTTGGAACTAGATGATCTTTAAGATCCCTTCCAACCCAAACCATTCTGGGATTCTGTGACTCTTGAGTAGCACTCATGAGAGTACCACTAGGTAAGTTCAGTGGCATAGTGTAAGTATGTAGTAGCCACCATGAGGAATGGGAGTATTAAAAAAACTGGTCTCCCATGTATGGTCTCTTGTTATCGTTATTTTGTTATTGCTTAAAAAAATAGTGACATAGCAAAGGATCCAGACTGTGCATCTTAATAAAATGAGTGGCACATAAAAGGAGAATGGAAGCCCTGGGGGGAATGTAAGGGGCTCATGAAACATCAGTAGTCCAATTATGCAAGTTGCTTTGCAGATCCT